AAAATAGATTTACATTGTATTTATATATATCCTCTTAAGAATCATTTTCTTATCACACATACCATGGACTGTAGTTAAAGACCCGCGCACATACACAATATACATTCAAAATTCTATTTGTTTTAGTAGATTGAGTGTTGCAATTATCACTTGTTACTTGGTATTTAACCCCCTTCAACAGGCTTCGCGAAACTGCTGAAAAATTTGCCTGACATTCGGTCAGACAAACTTTCAATTCTTGTCTGACCGAAAGAACTTTTGTCTGACCGAATTTTCCCCCCAAATATATGTATATGGTAATACCTTGGTGTTTTTTTAAAGACATAACAACTTTTAAAGATTTGCAACACAATTTTATTCCCTTAAATAAAACATTAGTTTATCCAGATTGATGGACTCGCAGGCGCTAGTCACATAATCAAATATTTTACATAACCAGTCTATATATGTATATAAAGATATATAGTATATAGCCCATATAAAACTTTAAAAAGTTTGTTTCAAGCACCTGTGGATGGACTCTGTTTGGAAATCAAAACATTCATGATCAAAGCGGCCATTTTTCCATTTACGGCGGGCGCCTGGACTCGTATTCCTTTTGTTTCGCTTTTTTTTTCTTCATTGGATAGTTTACGATTTTTGCCGGGCGTAGCGCCAGCGTAATAATGTAGTAACACCGACATTTTGGTTATTGACAGTCGTATGTATCGGACACTTATAATGAAACGGCGAATCAAAACTCGTTTTACATTTTTTTATTCAAGGGAGAAAACTCGGTCTTGATCGGTCTTGGATATATCCCGGTATTCGTACCGGACATAAGGTCAGGAACTCCAAAAATAAATATCGGACCGGCCTGATTTTTGCCGGACATGTCCGACGGTCCGGCAACATTCGCGAAGCCTGCTTCAAAAGTAATTAAACTTCAAAGAAATTTAAACGATGTGTAAAAAATATTCAAAAGTTACTTTTATTTCGCATGATACTGACTCAAACTGTAAAGATTTTTATTGTTTTTTCTAGCGTTACATTAAAAAATATCAGAAATATCTTTCTACATGCATTCAAATGAAAAGAATAATTAAAATATACGAGTGACTTTAAAAAGCCCGGAATATAGACAGCCACACGAGAGTACTTTTATAACTGTTACGATGATTGTCTACTTCACTGCACCGACTTTTGAAAACAGATTTACAAAAAATAATATTTATAAATGATGAAGGAAATTTAAATATTCTATGAATATGGCAATATCAAAATCTCGGCAATATTTTGTACTAAAAAAATGAATAAATTTTCTTCACGTGTTGAGCGAAATGTAAAGCCCGCAATACATTACCCGTAAAACAATTGTGCGTTAATAAATTTGACTACATAACCCAATAAATCTTAAATATTGCATCTTTGATCATCTGTGAATAACTTACATCGACTTCATTTTATTTTGAAATTGAATTTATTATGTTACCATAATAATAAATTTCAAATACCTGCTTTTTTATATAAAAATGTAAATTTACCGTGGATTTCGTCAAGTTGATTTTTTAATCGTCGTTGCGGACAGATAAACTGTACCTTTAAAAAATAAATTATATATTTGAATTAAACAAGTATTTTCCTTCAAAATAAACTTTAAATTTCCAAAATCGGATAATAAATGGAAAAGCTATATGGTATTTTGTAAAGTAGGTATCCGTTGCGAACGGGCATTTACGCTTAGCGCCCGATGTACCTTTATCGGGTGCACAACAAGATATTTAAGCATTTATATAGGGTTAACTGGGAGTGTCCAATCCCTGTAATATAAATCCGTGCTTCCCCGTATTAAAATATATGAATGAATAAATTACATATCATATTGCAAAACATCAATTAACAGATTAAACCAGTTGATGTTGACCATGACAGGCCTCGTATGATGTAATTCGCATGAAGCATTAAGAGTACTGGCATGTATTATATTTAGAACATCTTTGTTGACATGACATGATTTGAATACTGAAGATTTCATTTTTGTTAACCAGGTTTTCCGAAGGAAAAAACTGGTTATTAGATTGAGGTATGTCGGCGGGCGGGCGGATGGGCGGACGGGCGGGCGTAAACAATTTCTTCTGTGCGCAACTCCTCCTACATTTCTCAACGGATTTTGACCAAACTTTCACAGAAGCTTTGTCATCAAGTGCCCTGGCGCATATTGTCGGGGTTTTGCGATTAGATAATATTTGACCTAATTATGGCCCTTTTTTTTTCCTTATATAAAATATATAGTGAACAATTTCTTCTGTGCGCAACTCTCCTACATTTCTCAACGGATTTTGACCAAACTTCCTCAGAAGCTTTGTCATCAAGTGCCCTGACACATATTGCCAGGGTTTTGCAATTGGTATATATTTGACCTAATTATGGCCCTTTGTTTTTTTTCCTTATATAGAATATATAGTGAACAATTTCTTCTGTGCGCAACTTCTCCTACATTTCTCAACGGATTTTGACCAAACTTTCACAGAAGCTTTGTCATCAAGTGCCCTGGCCCATATTGTCGGGGTTTTGCGATTACATATAATATTTGACCTAATTATGGCCTTTGTTTTTTTTTCCTTATATAAAATATATAGTGAACAAGTTCTTCTGTGTGCAACTTCTCCTACATTTCTCAACGGATTTTGACCAAACTTTCTCAGAAGCTTTGTCATCAAGTGCCCTGACACATATTGCCAGGGTTTTGCGATTGGTATATATTTGACCTAATTATGGCCCTTTGTTTTTTTTCCTTAATTAGAATATATAGTGAACAATTTCTTCTGTGCGCAACTCCTCCTACATTTCTCAACGGATTTTGACCAAACTTTCTTAGAAGCTTAGTTATCAAGTGCCTGGCACATATTGTCGGGGTTTTGTGATTGGATAATATTTGACCGAATAATGGCCCTTTGTATATTTTTTCCTTATACAGAATATATAGAGAACAATTTCTTCTGTGCTCAACTCCTCCTACATTTCTCAACAGATTTTGACCAAACTTCCTTAGAAGCTTTGTTATCAAGTGCCTGGCACATATTGTCGGGGTTTTTTGATTGGATAATATTTGACCGAATTATGGCCCTTTGTATATTTTTTCCTTATTCAGAATATATAGTGAACAATTCTACAGTGCGCAACTTCTCCTACATTTCTCAATGGATTTTGACCAAACTTTCACAGAAGCTTTGTCATCAAGTGCCCTGGCGCTCACTAAATTCCCATGTTTCTTCCAAGACTTATTCATTCAAGTATTTTTTTAAAATTGTGTACATACTTTTCTTGATATCGCACAAAACACCACACGCCAATATTGTTGACAAAAGAAAATGACAAGAGACGCAAAAATGCAAAAATTAAGCAAAAATAAAGTACTGTTTACCTTTCTAAAACATTTGGGAAAAAAAGGCGAATAGACAACATAAAATTTCTCAATCATTTTTGTTTGAGGAATATTAAAAAAGCCATAATTCCTCCTAAAAGTTCAATTAAAAACAAATGCCCCTTCATGACAAAGCTTCTGTGAAATATTTTGCTGAAAACCTGGTTGCATCGCATTGCGATGTTCCTTGTTTACTCTTTTTTTATTTACTTTTTTTATTTTACAGTGCTTAAATAAAATAGTAGAATATAAGTCAGCAAATTATCTTGGAATAAAAGATTTAAGTGTTTGGTTCAAAAAAATTAAAAACACATGGCATTGTTTTTGTAACTGTCCACACATATTTAAATGAACCCCGAGGTCAATCTCATACTCAAATGATCAAACATTTTTGGCAAGGTGGTGGCGAAAGGGTGGATAATTTTACCTATCTGAAATTATTAGGTAGATTATGTTCAAAATAAGTGTTTTTTATATGTTTATACTTGGCTTATTAATCGATTGTAATTATAGTTTTTCAGCATAAGTTTCACTTTACTCATTTGAATGAAAACAAGTGAGCCAGAGTCTTGGCCCGATTATTGGTGAACTTTCCCTATGGTGTTGTCATCAGCGCACTGTACACATCCTGTCAGTGTTTAAAAAAGGGTACTCTGAAGACCTTATAAGTTAAACTAGAGGGCACCAAATTTGTCAACAATGATGCATGTCAACAGATACTTCCTTTGATCAATGCCAACAATGATCTCCTGTTGATCAGTGTTAACAATAACCTCCCTTGATTAGTTATTGAATCAACAGTTATCTCCCTTGATCAATGAAGCATGTGAACAATTACTTCCCTTGATCAATGATTACCTTCAAATAACAATTGCCTCCCTTTATGAGTTTTTACCTCCAATAACAAGTAATCAATGCCAACAAATTATCTCCCATTTATCAATAATCACTTCTGTTGATCAAGTGCAGTACCATATTAAACGGGGTTTTCTTTATGTACACAAAACTAATATCTTTACTAAAAATAACATTCAATTGTAATACCTGTTCACTTTATCATATCACTGTATGTAACTTGTTCCTCACCTCTTTATACATATGAGCAGCGTCATGACAAAACTAACATAATGCGTTTGCGACCAGCATGGATCCAGACCAGCCTGCGAATCCACACAGTCTGATCAGGATCCATGCTGTTCGCTTACAAACTCTATTACAAGTGGAGAAACTGATAGCGAACAGCATGGATCCTGATCAGACTGCGCTGATGCGCAGACTGGTCTGGATCCATGCTGGTCGCAAACCAATTATGTTAGTTTTGTCGTGACACGGCTCATACATTATTATTACTTTCAGTGGGTTTTAATTTCTGATGTTAAGAAGGTTATTCCAGAGAATTAAGCAGATTGCTAAGTGGAACATGGCTTCATCTGTAGAGGTATGGAGAAAGATAACAATCATGTCACATTCAAGAAAAGATGAGTTTTTGGATAGTTTTGAAAAATTCTTGTTCACAAAGAACTGAAGAAAAATCACTGAGAGAAATGTAGATTTGCTATTGTTTTTATATGTTTATATTATTGTATTTGAATTTTGAAATATCAAAGAGCCATGTTTAATTTTTTTTTTCATTTTTGTCTTTGTGAATTTGTGAGAAGTAAGATGTATGAATTAAATAAGACATTGAAATAAAATGTTCCCTAACAAAATGTTAAGCTGCTCAGCTGTATTTAATACATGTATAAGGTTTAACGTTTATTTTTTATATTTTACACCACCAACTATGTACAAAAATTTTGAATATTGATTATTTTTTTATTTGGTGATGAGGAAGGATTTTCACTCATGAAGCAACACAGGAATATTGACACTGATACTCATGGAAAAATTAGAATTTGATATATTAGCAAACAATATAAATGTACTATGTATTTCAGGGTAAGACAGGAGAAAAGAGAACTGGAGATGATACAGTGAGTGATATCAGCAAGAAACAAAAGGTTTGAATACAAAAAAAATCTTTTTAAACACTCTGCTGCATGGGTAACACCATGTTAATACTATTTTATGGATTACTGTAAAAATCATTTCTCCCACTGTAGAACTATAAGGTTATTTCATGTATTTTGCCAGTCCTCTATAAATATTTTTAGAAAAAAAAGGCAGATCTTTGCGTTGAACCCTTAACCATGCTTGAACCTTAAGTGATTAGCTTTTGCCATCAGTAAAGAGCCTTCCGGCAGCCAGACTATACTGTTGGTAGCTCAGATCTTTTAAACTTAGAATGGACTGTTCCAAATTCATTGCAGGACAAATCCATTGTACAAATTCAGCAGGTTAATGGTAAGGTGCTTTCATACATTGAATTAAAAGCTGGAAAACTGGCATACTATATTTTGCCAAACAGTCAATGTTTGATAATTTCTAGACATTTGAACTTTATACAATATACCAAATATTTGATAATTTCTTAACATTTGAACTTTATACAATATACCAAATATTTGATAATTTCTTGACATTTGAACTTTATACAATATACCAAATATTTGATAATTTCTTGACATTTGAACTTTATACAATATACCAAATATTTGATAATTTCTAGACATTTGAACTTTATACAATATACCAAATATTTGATAATTTCTTGACATTTGAACTTTATACAATATACCAAATATTTGATAATTTCTTAACATTTGAACTTTATACAATATACCAAATATTTGATAATTTCTTGACATTTGAACTTTATACAATATACCAAATATTTGATAATTTCTTGACATTTGAACTTTTTATACAATATACCAAATATTTGATAATTTCTAGACATTTGAACTTTATACAATATACCAAATATTTGATAATTTCTTGACATTTGAACTTTATACAATATACCAAATATTTGATAATTTCTTAACATTTGAACTTTATACAATATACCAAATATTTGATAATTTCTTGACATTTGAACTTTATACAATATACCAAATATTTGATAATTTCTTAACATTTGAACTTTATACAATATACCAAATATTTGATAATTTCTTGACATTTGAACTTTATACAATATACCAAATATTTGATAATTTCTTGACATTTGAACTTTATACAATATACCAAATATTTGATAATTTCTAGACATTTGAACTTTATACAATATACCAAATATTTGATAATTTCTTGATATTTGAACTTTATACAATATACCAAATATTTGATAATTTCTTGACATTTGAACTTTATACAATATACCAAATATTTGATAATTTCTTGACATTTGAATTTTTTAAAAAAATATACCAAATTTATTAATTTGTACCAAGATGTTTTATATAAGATGAGTTGTATTATAACTATATTTAGGTCGAGCCAAATGTTGCACGTGCAGACAGGAAGCGCAAGGTGGCGCTCCTAATCGCCTACAATGGTAAAGGATATTATGGACTTCAACTGTAAGTTTTAAATCATCCCTCATTATATACTTATAAATGAAATATTAATTTTTTTCATTTTCCATATTTTCCTTTTCTGTATTTTCGTTTTCCATTTTCTCATTTTCCGTAATTTCACTGTAAGAAAATATTTTTCACTGCAGTGGAACATATTTTCTGTATTTTCACTGGTGTTATGCCGGACTACTTTCATCTAAATTCAGCAACTACACAAACTTTAAGGGGAAATATGAAATTTAGATAAAAAAAAAGGAAAAAATTATATAATGGACAGAAAATTCAAGTTTTGTTCTATAAAGGATTTATTTTCATCATGTGGTATGAAAATTATCATTTTTACTTGTGGCTGCAGCCACACATAAAATATTTATTTTCATACCACTCGATGAAAATAAATCCTTTATAAGAAAGAATATCCTCTGTTTGTGTTAAACTTTGACCGGCCAAAATGGATTTTGCACTATATTGATTTTCATGTTTTCATCTATTGAAGATTATAATGCTATAAAGGTTCTTTTGTTATAGGTAAAGTATTTTACATCTACAAATGTATGTGTACCACAGTACCTAAATTATACAGAATATATTTGTCAAAGTAACAATTAAGTGGATCGGGATTGATTTATTATCTCTAAATAGTTCATGTATGATATGTGTATTTTCATGTTAAAGGGATTCATGGTCCCATTTAAATACTTAATTGCCCCATTATTTTCATCCCTGTGCGGGCCTGTTATAATTCTATATTGCCCAATTTTTCCAGGAATCCTGGTTTTCCATCAATAGAAGGAGATATAATCAAAGCCATATTGGAGGCAGGGTTGATAACCCAGGACCACGCTGACACACCCAGAAAGGTAGAAACTACTTAAACCATTCAAACAGACATTGTTTTGTTAAATGACATTGTTTAGGTAAGTCTTGTGAACAAAAAGATTACAAATTAATATTTTTGTCTCTATTTCTTTTGGACTTGTTTAAATACATCTATAGAAAATGATGATTAATGGAATGTTTTGTAAAGAAGTACATTTGTATACAAATTGCTTATCGGTATTTATACTCACTCTAAGATGACCTCATATAGTTAAAAAAATATTTTGGACAGCCACATATTTAAAAGACAACATTTGTACTAGTGAGACCGGTCTTTTGAATTCAACGTTCTCTGTTGACCATTTAATGCCATACATGTATATACATGTAGTGTGACAATAACCTGCTGGTGTGAACTGATTCTACCCATGCAACCAGTACAGACCAAATAGACCAAGATAAATTTGCTTGGACCATGGTCTGCACTGTTCACTAATAGTCGGTTCATATTTTCTTTAAAGATAATGAATTGTTTTGTCCAGATTGAAAGATGGACATTTCAGTTTAAGTTATTTTAGGGTGGTAAGGGCTAATGTTACATATACATGTATGTCATTTCTGTTCATATATAGAATATCAATACTCCCTCTGGTGTCAAATATGTCAATGTGTCTTGAGTCTTTTTCATTCATGATAAGCTTGTCTGTTCCAAAGAAACGGTCTAGCTATTTTAATTCCTGCAGCGTTGGTGTCATTGTCATTGTTGTGCAAAATCTTTAATGCAGCCCATTATCCAAACATTGTAAAAGATATCAACACAAAACTTGGAATACTATGAGCGTTTACAGCACATGCAGTGCTCTTGTTTTATATAGGGTTATTTCACATGTGTCAATGCTATTTCTTATTTCAGATGTCATTTCAAAGAGCTGCACGGACGGACAAAGGAGTTTCTGCAGCTGGGAACCTCCTGTCATTAAAGATATGTTACATATATGATAATTATGATTTATTATTACTATGAAATTAGTTTGGGAGATGGGGTGTTTGACCCAAATTTATCTGAATAGAGTGTTAATAATGAATTTGATCTACTCAAATAAATAATGAATTTGATCTACACAAATAAATAATGAATTTGATCTACACAAATAAATAATGAATTTGATCTACACAAATAAATAATGAATTTGATCTACACAAATAATTACCCCATGGCTTACAAAAATTAAAAATATAGCATTTCATGGAATGAAATCTACTGTTAATTCTTTATGATGAAAAGAAATACACAGTTCAGTAAGTGCATCATGATATTACAACAAAAAAGTTTTTCTTTTCTGATTTTGGATCACTTTTTATTAGAATTACAATGTAAATTTTTGTCTTGTGTTGTGCTTAACCTGTTGTTTATATTGTTGATTTTTTTTTTCATTTTTATACATGTTAATGAATAAAGAGAATTTATTGGAGGAGATTAACAAGCATCTGCCGCCACAGATCAGAGTGTTTGGTAAATATTTATTTATACCCAGTACAGCACACACTGTTTAAGTGTGAATCAGGCAATAATTCTTTAAAACCAAATCATTTGTATTTTTGACATAATAGTCAATTAAGCTGTACATAAAAGATGTGCTCTTAAATAAACAAGATCTTTTTATCAACATTATGTTTTTGCTTTATGACATCAGATGATGTAAACAATCTCAAATTTCTTGTCATTTGATATAAAATTACCTAATAAAATATAGCCTAGTGAAGTACTGAAGTTCAAATCATATATATATGAAATGCCAACTTGTGTTAAGATTGTAAACAGGTCAATGTCAAATAACATTTCATTTTGTGATAAGTCCCCAAAATTTAAATAAAAAATGTACATTTGATACATCAAAACTGCTTAACTCATATTAGGATATTTCAATTTTTTAAATGAAATTTATGTAGTTTCTTGAAATAAATTTATATTAGAATTTTTACCTTAAATCTTTAGTGTAAATATTCATACAATATAGTAAATTTTACAGATATATGTAAGTTATTTTAACCATACTTGTCTTTCAACTATTTACAGAGGTAGTGAGAACAACAAATGGATTCAATAGTAAAGACCATTGCTGTGGAAGAACATACATATATATTCTACCCACATATGCCTTTGCACCAGTTGAAGAGGTATGTATTTGTTTTAAGTTGTTTTTACAATATTTAGAATTAAGGGGATTATAGGAATGGCCTCCGTCTAACAGTCCGTCCCTCTGTCCGTCTGTCTGTCCGTCCATAACACTTTTGTGTTAGCTCCATACCCTAAACTGCTGAAATTGTTTTTAAAATAACATGGCACAAATGATCACCATTATCATAAGATGTTAAGAGCACAATAATTGGGTTGCTACCACCAAGATCAAGGTCACACTTGAAGGTCAAGTGTTAAAAGTGTACATTTCATGTCTGCTCCATAATAAACCACAGAACACTTTTTTAAATAAATTAACACAAATGATTACCATAATGAGACGATGTTGCTGAACACAATAATTGGGTTGCTACCCCCAAGATCAAGGTCACACTTTAAGTTCAAGTGTTAAAAGTGTACATGTTGTGTCTGCTCCATAACTTTTTAACTGCTGAAAAAATTTTTAAATCTTGGCAAAAGTGATTACCATTATGAGATGATGTGCAGAGCGCAATAATTTGGTTGCTACCTCCAAGGTCAAGGTCACACTTAAAGGTCATGTGTTAAAAAGTCTACATTTCATGTCTGCTCCATAACATTTTTTTTAATAACTTGGCATTAATGATCACCATAATGAGATTATGTTAAGAGCGCAATAATTGGGTTGCTACAACCATGTCCGCTGCAAAAGGGGATTTAGCTGTCCTTCAGACTGCCTTGTTCCAAATTAAAAAGATGGCCAAATCGATTACAGAAATTAAGCTAGATAAGAGTTAGTACTGGACCAGTATAAGGAGGAAAAGTAATGCCTGCTCTATTATCTTGGTTTCAGATTTGTACATTAGAATATAGGACAAATAAAGACATTATTGAGCGTGTGAATGAAGTGCTGTTGAAGTTCCAGGGCACTCATAACTTTCACAACTTCACATCTGGAATGTAAGTTAATTCTAGTTTTGGTCGTAATTTTTTACATGTTTTTACAAACATCATTTTACATGATTTAAGCTTGAAAAAGAAAAAAAATGTTCAGCTTTAAATTGTACATGTATAAGATTATATTGGAAAGATGGTTACCCTTGATTCTTGTATACTTTTCAGTAAACCTTTTGAAAACTGTGCCAAAAGATATATTATCGATTTTGAGGTAGGTGTATTGTTTATTACAAAGTTGTGAGGAGGGTATACATATTTGAGAATGTTGATTTGTACGGCAATGTAGGTGTTAATGTGTGCTGCTTCTTCAAAAGCACTTAACCAATTTTGATAAAACTTGACACTTTAAATGCACATGAGGTCTTTTTGCATTTTGTTGAAATTGACTAACTTTATCAATTACTGGTAGTGGATGTATTGTATTCATGTTTAGACATAAGGACCCTTTGTTATCCTCGGCCAATGAAATTAGAAGTGGGATATTGATATGTCTCTGTCCATCTTTAACCCATTATGCGATATAATGCCTTTTTCACCCCCCCCCTTTTTTTTTGTCTCAAATGGTGAAAAAATGCCTTATTTAGGCCCCCAACACTTGTTTTTGTTTGAGAAATGTTGTTAAAAAAGTGACCACTTTTTCGGCGTGGCCCCCCAACAAAAAGATACATCGGGGGGTTGCCAGAAGGGGGATGTGCCCCCTTCTGTTTGGGGGGTTTGAAGGGGGGCAGTAGTCCCCCTCATTGCCAAGAAAATTTTGGACTTGTGAGAGGCTAAAAATGACCCCAGATTGATCATAAGGTAACGTGTAACCAACGCTGAAAAGCATTTGACTCTATCTCAATCCCTTGAGAAGTTGCTGCACTTTGAAATCAATTTTGATGGAAGAAATCAACGCAAAATAGTGATTTTTGGCAATTTTGAGATGTCCCCTCATTGCCATGGTAACAGAAAATTTAAGTCTGAGCATGTTGTTGCAAGGGCAATGGTCCAGTCAACATTTGTGCCAAGTTTGATGAGTATTAAATCAGTTTTTATAGTATTATAGCAATTTGAACTTGTAACAGGAGACTTTTCAATGAAAACAGCCATTTTTCACAAAATGCTCATGAAGTAATGGGTTAAGTCCATCCCTTTGTCTATCTTGAAAATTATTTATGCAGTTTTTCAAAATTTTGGCAGGAATTATAAGATAGATAGGGATGTGAGACCAAGTTTCATTAAAATCCACAAGGGGATTGTATAAGTCACTGCCTTTTGTTACTTAAGGGCCCAATACGCCTATTAGATATCCTATCAATTTTGTTTCTATAAACTTATTATTTTTGATATCTTGAAGTTGTTATAGTGTCAAAAGAAATACTCATTTTCCCCATAGATGAACTATCTTTAGCTTTCTTTGTTCTGTTGGCAATTAGTATAATTATAGTGAATTTGTATTTTGTATGGAAGTCAAAATACTATTTTGTTTACATTTTGCTACCTTTATGACACATTACTCTATGTTCAGTACTGCTTTCTCCAGTTGTTAAACAACTTACATGCTCATAATCCATTATTAAAACATAATTAAAGAAATGTTTAAAAATAAAAAAAAATTTCTGAGGCAAAATGAGCCTTTAAAATAGACATTTCTCAAACCCCATGATAAGAAAAATAGCCTGATATTGTTAATATATTGTTAATTTATTAGTGATTAATTTATTTTTTATGGTTAATATTACTCCATATTTTTATATGAATGTATTATGTTTACAGTGCGGAAAGCCATTTGTACGAGATGGGGTAGAATTCTGTGTGTTGTCTGTCCGTGGCCAGAGTTTTATGTTACATCAAATTAGAAAAATGATCGGTAAGAAATACAGTTTGTAAGAAACACTTTACCAAGTAATTAGCTTTTGTCACCAGTATAAGGCAACAGCCTGAACTTCTGTGCAATTAAGCCAGACTGTAAACTGTTTGTAGCTAAATTTTTGTATTTCAATTCATCAAAATTCCTTAATCTTCAAATGAACGTTGTTCGCTTACAAACCCTATAACAAGTAGAGAAAGTGATAGCGAACAGCAGGGATCCTGATCAGATACGCGCAGGCTGGTCTGGATCCATGCCGGTCGCAAACCCACTATGTTGGTATTGTCATGACACGGCTCATTTATTATTATGTAAATTTCAGGTTTGACAATTGCCATATTGAGAGGCCATGCTAATATTGATGCCATTGAGGAGGCTTACAATCATGAGAAGGTTAGTTTTAATTAGATTCAGGGTGAGCCATTAGTCTATAGTTAATGCAAGGCATAAACAATGGTCTTCAACATTTCTGAGTCCACTAGTACGATTTGCTTTAAATTGTAGTATCCATGTGATGTTATTGCCCCTTTTTGGTGAAACCATCCTTTGAAAACTTTTGTGTTTCTCATGACCCAATAGATGGGTCATCACTTAATTTGGTCTGAATTTTCTTAGATTCTACTTTATAGAGTTTGCTCTGAAAACCTACCATTTTCAGCTTGACCATTCAGCTAATGCAGTCATTCATTTGTCGACGTCTCTATGGTTAAGTTTTTGCATGTAAGCAAGTAACTCCATAACTACAGAAGGGAATGGATTGAAACTTCACACACTTGTTCTCTGTGATTATCTCGCATGATTTGCACAAGTCCCATAACTCTGATTTTATTTTTTTGCATAATGATGCCCCTTTTTAGCTCACCTATCACAAAGTGACAGGGTGAGCTTTTGTGATCGCTTTTCGTCTGGCGTCCGGCCGTCCGGCGTCCGTAAACTTTTACTTTAAATGACATCTCCTCATAAACCACTAAGCCAATTTCATTCAAACTTCATAGGAATGTTCCTTTGATGGTCACCTTTGAAATTGTTCAAAGAATTTAATTCCATGCAGAACTCTGGTTGCTATGGCAATCAAAAGAAAAAACTTTAAATATCTTCTTCTAAAAAACCCAAAGAGCTAGAGCTTAGATATTTGGCATGAAACATCTTCTAGTGAGTGTCTACCAAGTTTGCTCAAATAAAAGCCCTGGGGTCAAAATTGGCCCCGCCCCTGGGGATCATTGATTTTCCCTATATGCATTTAGTAAAAACTTAAAAAATCTTCTTTTAAAGAACCCAAAGAGCTAGAGCTAGGATATTTAGCATGAAACATCTTCTAATGGGTGTCTACCAAATTTGTTCAAATAAAAGCCCTGGGGTCAAAATTGGCCACGCCCCAGGAGGTCATTGATTTTCCCTATATGCATATAGTAAAAACTTAAAAATCTTCTTTTAAAGAACCCAAAGAGCTAGAGCTCAGATATTTAGCATGAAACATCTTCTAATGGGTGTCTACCAAGTTTGTTCAAATAAAAGCCCTGGGGTCAAAATTGGCCCCGCCCCAGGGGGTCATTGATTTTCCCTATATGCATATAGTAAAAACTTAAAAATCTTCTTTTAAAGAACCCAAAGAGCTAGAGCTCAGATATTTAGCATGAAACATGTTCTAATGGATGTCTACCAAATTTGTTCAAATAAGAGCCCTGGGGTCAAAATTGGCCCCGCCCCAGGGGGTCATTGATTTTCCTTATACATGTATGTGTATAGTAAAAGCTTAAAAAATCTTCTTTGAAAAACCTCAAATAGCTAGGGTTTAGATATTAAGCACAAAGCATCTTCTAGTGAGTGTCTACAAAGTTTGTTCAAATCAAAGCCCTGGGGTCAAAATTGGCTGACCCCGGTGGACATTGATCTCTTTATATGTGTATAGCAAAAACTTAAAAATCTTCTTTGAAAAAACCCAAATAGCTTGAGTTTAGATATTAAGCATGAGACAATTTATAGTAAGTGTCTACAAAGATTGTTCAAATAAAAGCCCTGGGGTCAAAACTTGCCCTGCCCCAGGTGTGTCATTGTTTTTAACTATATGTGTAAAGAAAAAACTTGAAAAAAATCTTCTTTTAAAAAACCCAACGAGCTAGACCTTAGATGTTTAGCATGAAACATCTTCTAATGGGTGTCTACCAAGTTTGTTCAAATTAAAGCCCTGGGGTTTAAACTGGCCCCACTCCGGGGGGGGGGGGGGGGGGGGGGGGGGGGCTATATACAGGTGAGCGACTTCAGGGCCATCATGGCCCTCTTGTTTGACTTAGAAATTCTTGGTTAAGTTTTTGCTTGTAAGCTGGTATCTTCATAACTACTAAAGGTAATGGATTGAAACTTCACACACTTGTTCTCTGTGATTATCTTACATGATTGGCACAAGTCCCATAACTCTGATTTTTTTGCATTATTATGCCCCTTTTTGGACTTACAAATTCTTGTGTAAGCTGGTATCTCCATATCTACTGAAGGGTTTGTGCCTTTTTTGGGACAGTTTTATGCATTCATGATAATAAAGCAGTGATTTACTCAATAAAACATCTTTATAATTAGCCTTTTTACCTTTTTGGACAATTTTATGTATTTATATAGGTAAGTATTATTATACTCAATGAAACACCCTTGTGACAACTTTTTCGAATAGTCCAGCATCACTGTCGTCTGACAGTTCTTGTTTTACATTAAATCATTTCACTCTTATAATACAGCCATAAATACTTTTGAAAGTGTTGATGATACTTACAACCCTAAGAAAAAAATACATTTTGAAAATTAAAGCCTATTTTATTTGTCAACACATTTTAGATGGACATACCTAGAGCTCCAGCCCTGGGACTTATGTTAGAAAAGGTAAGGTTGGAATTTAAGTTTGTAAATTCATGTCCATGTAATAAATTGTGTGTAAACCATTAAGCTAGTTCAACAAATACAAAAACAGAAATATACACCTCATTTATTTGTTGGTTGAAAAAAAAAATACATTTTTAAGTCAGGTATACACATATGTTAAACAGTTGCAATTGAATGTGTTATAAGGTAGATAATGAAAAACTTGTATTTATTAATTCAAAACGGATTGCTGCTAGTATTTATAAATTTAAAACTGATTGCTGTACTATTCCAAATACAATAAAGGTGAACTTGTTATAAATATAAGTCTGCTTGCTTAGCTGAATTGGGAGAGCATCAGATTTGTAACCCAGGGATGGCAGGTTCAGTCCTCTTGCGAGTCAAAATTTCTCTGTGACAATTGATGGCGGACAATTGATTTGATATTCAAGTTTTCTCTCTTTGTCAATGTAGAAATCAATTTGGACTTATTGTCAGTCACATACATAGAAATTGATAAATACTGGCAAGTTATCCAGGAAAGTAGGTAAGGTGTACCAACTGCCAAGATTATGGGCGAGATATAACCAAAAATGTGCTGAAATCGGCATAAAAACCACACATACAAATGTATAAAAAAATGCTTAAATATAGACATGATTTTGAATTTTTCAGCTGCACTACGACCATTACAACAGAAGGTACGCGTCTGATGGCTCCCATGAAAGAATTGACTTTAATCACCTTAGAGTAAGCATCTTTTGATTTAATTTAACCCTTACCTTGCTAAATATAGGAAATGGACTTGTCCATCTTTCAATCTGGACAAATCCATTCATCATTTTTAGGAAAAATTTCTAAATAATTTGGGACTGAATTATGAACAATGCAGATATGATCATCTGGCACAATCATTATTCCACTTTATTTCATGCTTTCCAGTGTTTTATTGTAATATATTAGATGATTATATTCTGATAAAACACTAGTGAAATTTATAAAATATAATTTTCACTGTAGCCGGACTATATCCGAATGCGGATTAAAAGAAAATCATAACTAAATGGAATAACAGGCAGAAATAAATGCCGTCATACGTAAATTGTGATTCTTTAGGAAAAGAAAGTCGATGTCACCATACATCATGTTAAAAATGTAACAAAATTAGAGAAAATTTATTTGTTTTACGTATAAGATTGAAATATATTTCATTCGTGAACACCAGCTATTATATGTTCACTCGTGGCTACGCCACTCGTGAAAATATTGCATCTGGTGTTCACTCAGTGAAATTATATTTCAATCTTACATGCAAAACAAACAAATATCCTCTATGTTTTTGTTTTTAAATGATTAAAATTTTGTACATGACTTTTATATTAAATTGAAAAATGATAAAATAGATAATCTGTACTATTGGTGCTAAGTAACACTTGCTTATTAAGGTTTTCCCGATCATAATGCTTAGGATTGAGTTTCGCTGTATTTATTATCCCCCTTTGTTATGATTAATATGGTATCTAGCTGTTTTAACTATTTTGTTAATTTCATAGTTATATGTGGTGTATATATGTTCAGCTCTTCATGTACATTGAAGGAAAATAACATTTTTCTACATTTTTCTGTGTTTTCAGGAAAAAATCAGCACATTCAAAGAAGAATACATATTTTCTGAAATAATTAAAGAGGAAATAGAAACTCAAAGGTAATTTGCTCCCCTACTTCTTAGTGTCCTCTTTAAAACAGAGTAAATTAATAAGTAATTAGTCTATTACATTAGGGTAGGGATTAACAATTCTATGATTTCTCTATTAAGGAGACATAAGAAATTATTCACTGGGAACATATGATAATAAATGTATTTTTGAAAGTATATATTTCATACTAACATGTATTCTGTTTCTCAGTATGATGAATTGGATGGCCAAGCTACATTTTCACACCTGTGGACCTATGGAAAATAGATGGTCTGAACGAAAAAAGATAGATAATGTAAGTTTGGCTCTTGGTTGAACTATGATTACTACTATTTTACAAGATTGATATATATGAACTACTTTTCCAACCAGTCAAAAACTTTTGTCAGAGTACCAGCCTAAAAGTTTTGTTTGGAAATCAGTCAAAAACTTCTTATTAAAGAGTCAGTCAGAATCATTTTAAGGGTGACCAGTCAAAAACTTAGTGTTGTGTCATTTTTTAGCTAGACTTTTTTGTATTGTTACATGTGATGTTGCCGTCGGCAAACTTGTACCTTGATCATAACTTTTTAATTTCTTAGTATGTTGTCTTCATACTTGGCTACAACAACCCTTTGGACAAGACCTTTAAGCAGACCAAACTAACTTCAATGTCAAATGTCTAAATTTTAGGATAAGACCTTCATGTATATCAAACTCAAATTGACCTTGGCTCTTTAATGACCTTGGCCTTGAAGGTTAAATTATTGAATTTTCACTGATTTTTGCTATAATTGACTGTAACTTGGTAATTGATAAATGGATTATCTTCACACTTTGACATAACTATATTTTGGACAAGACCTTTTAAAAGGTTGAACTGACCTTGACCTTGAGTTATAAATGACCGTGACTATTTAATTATGCCCCCATTTTGAAAAAAAGGGGGTATATTGCTTTGCACTTGTCGGTCCGTCGGTCCGTAGACCAAATGGTTTCCGAGTGATAACTAAAGAACCCTTAGGCCTAGGAACTTCAAACTTGGTATGGTGATTGGTCATGACCAGTAGATGACCCCTATTGATTTTGGGGTCAAGGGGTCAAAGGTCAAGGTCACATTGACCTTGAAAGCAAAAACGGTTTCCGATCAATAACTAAAGAACCTTAAGGCCTAGGAACTTCAAACTTGGTATGGTGATTGGTCATGACCAGTAGATGACCCCTATTGATTTTGGAGTCAAGGGGTCAAAGGTCAAGGTCACATTGACCTTGAAAGCAAAAACGGTTTCCGATCAATAACTAAAGAACCTTAAGGCCTAGGAACTTCAAACTTGGTATGGTGATTGGTCATGACCAGTAGATGACCCCTATTGATTTTGGAGTCAAGGGGTCAAAGGTCAAGGTCACATTGACCTTAAAAGCAAAAACGGTTTCCGATCAATAACTAAATAACCTTAAGGCCTAGGAACTTCAAACTTGGTATGGTGATTGGTCATGACCAGTAGATGACCCCTATTGATTTTGGGGTCAAGGGGTCAAAGGTCAAGGTCACATTGACCTTAAAAGCAAAAACGGTTTCCGATCAATAACTAAAGAACCTTAAGGCCTAGGAACTTCAAACTTGGTATGGTGATTGGTCATGATCAGTAGATGACCCCTATTGATTTTGGGGTCAAGGGGTCAAAGGTCAAGGTCACATTGACCTTGAAAGCAAAAAACGGTTTCCGATCAATAACTAAAGAACCTTAAGGCCTAGGAACTTCAAACTTGGTATGGTGATTGGTCATGACCAGTAGATGACCCCTATTGATTTTGGAGTCAAGGGGTCAAAGGTCAAGGTCACATTGACCTTGAAAGCAAAAACAGTTTCCGATCAATAACTAAAGAACCTTAAGGCCTATGAGCTTCAAACTTGGTATGGTGATTAGTCATGACCAGTAGATGACCCCTATTGATTTTGGGGTCAAGGGGTCAAAGGTCAAGGTCACATTGACCTTAAAAGCAAAAACGGTTTCCGATCAATAACTAAAGAACCTTAAGGCCTAGGAACTTCAAACTTGGTATGGTGATTGGTCATGATCAGTAGATGACCCCTATTGATTTTGGGTCAAGGGGTCAAAGGTCAAGGTCACATTGACCTTGTAAGCAAAAACGGTTTCTGATCAATAACTAAAGAACCTTAATGCCTTGGAACTTCAAACTTGGTATGGTGATTGGTCATGATCAGTAGATGACCCCTATTGATTTTGGGGTCAAGGGGTCAAAGGTCAAGGTCACATTGACCTTGTAGGTAAAAACGGTTTCCGATCAATAACTAAAGAACCTTAAGGCTTAGGAACATCAAACTTGGTATGGTGATTGGTCATGATCAGTAGATGACCCCTATTGATTTTGGGGTCAAGGGGTCAAAGGTCAAGGTCACATTGACCTTGTAGGTAAAAACGGTTTCCGATCAATAACTAAAGAACCTTAAGGCCTAGGAACTTCAAACTTGGTATGGTGATTGGTCATGATCAGTAGATGACCCGTATAGATTTTGGGGTCAAAGGTCAAGGTTACATTGACCTTTTAATTAAAAACGGTTTCTGATCAATAACAAAAGAACCCTTAGGCCTAGGAACTTCAAACTTGGTATGGTGATTGGTTATGACCAATCAGATGACCCCTATTGATTTTGGCGTTAAGGGGTCAAAGGTCAAGGTCACATTGACCTTGTAGGTAAAAACGGTTTCCGATCAATAATGAAAGAACCCTTAGGCCTAGGAACTTCAAACTTGGTATGGTGATTGGTCATGACCAGCAGATGACCCCTATTGATTTTGGGGTTAAGGGGTTAAAGGGCAAGGTCACATTGACCTTGTAGGTAAAAATGCTTTCCGATCAATAACTTAAGAACCCTTATGCCTAGGAACTTCAAACTTGGTATGGTGATTGGTCATGACCAGCAGATGACCTATTGATTTTGGGGTCAAAGGTCAAGGTCACATTGACCTTGTAGGTAAAAACGGTTTCCGATCAATGCACTAAAAACGCTTAGGCCTAGGAACTTCAAACTTTGTGTGATGATTGGTCATGAGCAGCAGATGACCCCTATTGAGTTTTAGGTGAAGGGGTCAAAGGTCAAGGTCACATTGACCTTTTAAGTAAAAACAGTTTCTGATCAATAACTCAAGAACGCTTAGGCCTAGGAACTTCAAACTTGGTATGGTGATTTGTCATGACCAGCAGATTACTCCTATTGATTTTGGGATCAAGGGGTCAAAGGTCAAGGTCACAATGACCTTGTAAGTAAAAACAGTTTCTGATCAATAACTAAAGAACGCTTCGGCCTAGAAACTTCAAACTTGGCATGGTGATTGGTCATGACCAGCAGATGACCCCTATTGATTTTGGGGTCAAAGGTCAAGGTCACATTGACCTTGTATGTTAAAACGGTTTCCGATCAATAATAAGAGAACCCTTAGGCCTAAGAACTTCAAACTTGGCATGGTGATTGGTCATGACCAGCAGATGACCCCTATTGATTTTGGGGTCAAGGGGTCAAAGGTCAAGGTCACATTGACCTTGTAGGTAAAAACGGTTTCTGATCAATTTACTAAAAAACGCCTAGGCCTAGGAACTTCAAACTTTGTATGATGATTGGTCGTGACCAGCAGATGACCCCTATTGAGTTTTGGGTCAAGGGGTCAAAGGTCAAGGTCATGACCAGTAGATACTTTATAACCCTTATTAATTGTTTGATCACTGGGTCAGAAGTCATGCATAATAACCTTATCACATGACTAATTGGCTGCTGATAGGGGGCATACATGTTTTACAAACATATCTTGTTATGATAAAGTTTTCATAATTTTGTTATTAATGTACGGATTAATTCACATGTGAACAAAATAACAGTTCTGACCAAACAGACATGTGGAATAAGTTAGATATGACCTTGACCTTTAATGATTGAATTTTGTAACATTTTCTTAACTTGATCATTTATTTTTGGGAAGGATTCATCCTTGTTACTAAACAACATATGTGACTAGACAGACCTATTAAATAAGTAAAAACCTAAAAATTGTTCTTTAATTTTCTTTTTAAAGATTTATTTCAACTGTTTATTTGTTTGCTTTTAGAAAAAGTAAAAAAGTAGAGCGTTGCCCCCGCCTGGCGGTGGCTCTTGTTATTTTTTTGTTTGGCTTGTTTTATCTGTAACATAATAAATTAAATTGAACTGCCAATTGCACAAAGATACATGTATAAGTAGATACAGGTATATCTGCTGGCAAATAAAACATGTTTCTTATTATTCTAGATACTTTTGTCAGAGCCAACTGATGCTAAGGAATCAACAGAGAATACAGAAGATGAAAGAATAAACAAAGATAGACTTGTTCAACCAGAAACACAGTCTGGTTCTGTGATAGACAGTGAAGCAGAAACCAGTCTGGTTCAAACAAAAGCACAGCCTGGTTCTAACACGGACTGTTTATCAGGAACCAGTCTTGATCAAACAGAAGCACAATCTAGTTCAACAAGTGACTGTGTATTAGAAACCAGTCAAGAAAAAATATTGACCAATCAGAATGAATCATGTGATGATGTGACCTCATCAAAGATGGACTGTCATTCAGGAAATTTAACCAATCAGAGGGAGTCATGTGATGATGGGGCAACACCGTCTCAGATTGATTGTGATTCAGAAAATACTGAGAATAAATCAGACAATGATAACGTGGCTAGTGAAGAAGTCAAGGCAGAGTCAATGAAATTGTAGATGGTGTAAAAATTGAATTTTCTGCAAGGAATATTGTTAAAAGAAAATATATTTTAATACATTAAGATTAATAAACTGCTGTTTTTATTCATGAACAGTCTAGAGAAGGGAGTTTTTATGATTTCACAGTTAAAGATTTAAATGAAGTTTATAGGTCTTTTAAATAAAAAATGTACATGGTTGTTCTAAAACCAATATAGGGATCACCTCCCGGTAGTCTGTTCATCTGTTTGTCACAAAACTTGTTCGAACCACTGCTCAAATAAGACTGTTGTAATTTTATCCAAACTTTTCAGGCACGATCAGTACCAATTCTAGTTCAATGATTTTTGTCAGAGTTCAGATTCGTTCATGTGAGGAAGCTACCCAGCTAGCTTACGGAACGTCGGTGGTTCTACTCGGGTGCCCGTTTGTGCCTGAAATAATGCACGGAGGTTTTCCTCCACCAGTAAAGCAGGAACGTCGCGATATGACCTAAACTGTGTTGGTGTGACGTAAAACCCAAACAAGCAATACAAATGGACTCATAATTTCAACACTTACTTATCAATACAAAGTACATGAAGTTGCCAGGTTATATAAGTGTGCCATCCATATTTCCCAGTATTTTTACTTTGAAAATAGGGCGTTGTATAATTAACCTATTTTTCCAGTTGGATTTATCTTAAATTTGTCCTTATAAGTTAATTTATTTAATGATATCTTCCATATTTGGTAGGTGGATACCATAAATGATCCTCTAAGTTCTAACATTTTGTGATTTGAAAATTATCATATTTTATATTACTCAATGAAAATAATGGTGTATTTGTAGAAAATACATGAATTTTCTGTTTATTATATACTTTTTCTCTTTATTTGACCTTACAATTTTTAAGACTCCACTTTTAATTTTGTGTATTGGCTGAATTAAGAAGGAAGTAGTCCAGCAAGACACCAGTGAAAATACAGAAAATATGTTTCACTGCATTGGAAAAAAAATGGACAGTGAAAAACAAACAAAAAAACGCAAAATAAAGATACACATTTTATTTCATCAGTATTTTTAAAATTTCATTTATAAATTTTCAACATCACCAAAAGAACAAGACCCTCCAAAACGCCAAATTTCAGAATAATACAAGGAAAGCATTGAAAAAAGAAGAAAACTTACAGACAGCCTAATATAGAAAATATTAACATTTGACTGCTACATCAAGCATATATGGCATCTTCCAAAATACTAATTAACAAAGATAAAAAACTTTGCACACTTCCACAAACTTTGCTGGCAAGTTTCCTTTATTTGATCTATTTTTAGAAAACTATTAATGTTGTTGCGATTTTTTTTATCTACCACGTGACTTACCATCTTATACAATTTGTATACTTTAGATAGATTTATTTTGTACAAATTATCCTGACGAAGAACCACATAAGATCAAATCCTGTAGATTTTAATTAAAATATTGTTCATATTTATCCAGTGTTGACGTATGGTTTCTTTGTATTACCATTTCATTTATAAGTATATAATAAATGGTGTTAGTTTGCTTGATAACTGGACCTAAAACCTTTGCACATAAAACAAAGATGTTAGATGAAATTGGATCACCTTCTGACAAAGCTTTGATAAATAACAACAGAATGGCATTTAATTATCTCTCACAGCCATTGAAGATTGCATTTAGAGAATAATTAAACATGATGTTGACATGCTAGATTTGTTTATAAACCATTCAGTATTGTACCCATTCAGTATTGTACAACATATTAAATTGCTTGGGAATTTAATAATGTATTATTATATAGGTGAGAATTTATTTATTATTCAGGAAATTACGCTTCATCATTTTGTTTGCATATTGTCTAGGCAATTTATTATCTTGCTTTCATTAATATTGAAAATTATCATATTTCATTGGTGTTATGATCATGTAATGTGATGCTGAAACTCAACAAGGCAGACAAGATTACAAAAATAATAGAATAACAACTGTTTTTGCTAGCAGTAAAGCTCACATGACCACAACAATTGTTTTGCTAGCAATTAAGCTCACCTAAAGACACAGGAACTGCATTAGCTAGCAGTTTAATTCACTTCAGCACAAAGCAACTGTAAAGCTAGCAGGCACAAAGCAGCCTGTTTTTATGCCACCGCAGCATCTGCGATGCGGTGGCATATAGCGATTCACCTGTGTGTGTGTGTGTGCGTGTGTGTGTGTGTGTGTTATATAGATTATATAGTGAACTTAAAAAATCTTCTTGTGAAAAACCACTCGTCCAATTTCAACCAAACTTGGCAGGATTGTTCCTTGGGTGAAGAGCTTCCAAAGTTGTTCAAAGAATTTCATTCCATGCAGAAATCTGGTTGCCATGGCAACCAAAAGGAATTATAAGAATAAATTTAAAAAATCTTCTTGTAAAGACCCAAAAGGCCTAGAGCTTAGATATTTTGCATAAGGCATTGTCTGGTAGACCTCTAACAAGATTGTTCAAATTATAGCCCTGGGGTTAAAATTGGCCCCGCCCCAGGGGATATTGATTTTCACTATGTACATATAGTAAAAACTTAAAATACCTTCTTGTAAAAACCCAAAAGGCCTAGAACTTAGATATTTTGCATAAGGCATCATCTGGTAGACCCTTAACAAGATTGTTCAAATTATAGCCCTTGGGTCAAAATCGGCCTTGCCCCGGGGTCATTGATTTTCGCTATATGTACATATAGTAAAAACTTAAAACACCTTGTAAAGACCCAAAAGGCCTAGAGCTTACATATTTTGCATAAGGCATTGTGTTGTAGACCTCTACCCAGATTGTTCAAATTATAGCCCTGGGGTCAAAATCGGCCCGCCCCAGGGGTCATTGGTTTTCCTTATATGTATATAGTAAAAACCTTAAAAAAAATTCTTCTAGCAATTGACAAATGCTAGAGGTTAGATATTTTGCATGAAACATTGTGTTGTAAAACTCTAGCAAGAGTTCAAATTATAGCCCTGGGGTCAAAATTGCCCCCGCCCTGGAGGTCATTGATTTCAATATATACATATAGTAAAAAATAAAAAAATCTTATTGTCTGAAGGTACAAGGCTTAGAGCTTTAGTATTTGTTAAATAATATCATCTAAAGGTACTCTAGTTGTTCAAAAAGTTGTTCAAATTTTGTCTCTTGTGTCAAAATTAGCCCCGCCCCTGGGAGCCATAGGTTTATCTTATATGTATATAGCTAAAACTTAAAAAATCATCTTCTCTAAATTTACAAAGGATAGAGTTAAGATATTTTGCATGAAACATTGTGTAGTGAACCTCTAGCAAGATTGTTCAAATTATAGCCCTGGGGTCAAAATTGGTTCCGCCCCGGGGGTCATTGATTTTCATTTTGTACATTTTTGTCTGAAGGTTCAAGGCATAGAGCTTTGATGTTTGATATATAATATCATCTATAGGTCCTCTACCAAAGTTGTTCAAATGTCAAAAATTGGCCCTGCCCGGGGGCAGTGATTCTCATTATGTACACATAAAAGCAGAAAATAAAACAAATGTTTTCTGAATGTGAGAAAGCTATACCTTAGATATTTGACTTGAAATGTTGTTTGGTGGACCTGTATCAAGATTATTAAACCCTTTGGTCAAAATTATGCCTTGCCCAAGGGGACAGTGACCTACTTTCTTGTCTTTTGATGTACAGCAATGACATTTTGACCATGTGCACAGTTTTAGTTGTAAAATTGAACTTTGACCTAGATTTTGATGATGTGACCTTCTTTCTTGTCCTTTGATGTACAGCTATGAAATTTGAACCATGCGGTGGCATAGCATTTTTCTCAAATGCAATCTTGTTTTTGGTAGAAATTATGCTCACCTTGGCACATAGCAACCGTGTTTGCTAGCAAATAAGCTCACATGAGCACATATAAACTTAATTTGCAAGCAGATTAGCCCACCATAGCATCGTAGCCATTGCTAGCAATTACGCTTACCTAAGCACATATAAACTGTTTGCTAGCAATTTACATATAGCTCACCCGAGCACACATCATTCATAGGTGATTCATTAGGATTGGTTAGTTATTTTAATGAAGAGTTTCTTCTGTATATGTTGGACCAAACTTGATATGAATCGTGTTCAATTTTAAGCGAAGTATAAGTATAATAATGAAAGTTGTGAGGTTTTTGGTCACATGATCTAAGCATAGCAAATGCTGAACTTTGAACGGCAAGTCTGTTTGATAGGCCATAAGAAAATAATAACATGTAGATTTTTTTTAGAAACAATCTCGTATGTTTGTCTTGTGTTCATCTGTGCGTCCGTCTGTTCTACAAACTGTATGTCTTTGTAAATTAGGAGGTTTTTTTATTGAAATAGAATATGTTCTGCAATAATGATAATGAAAGAAATACGAAATACTCGTATATGTGAGCGTCTTAGATATCACGTGGCCAGCGCTTGTTGAAGTCTCATTTGTGGAATCTGTTTAATTTTCACCTGTAAGAAAAGATAAAAGTTCCTTATATTGTATTTTATTGATGATATTTAAAGAAATATTTATGAGAAGAAATCGTTGACAACTTAAAAAACAGATTAATAGTCATAAAACACGAAATACGGACAAAAAATCCCCGAAAAATTGTTTGTACTGAGAACTGAAATGTTGTAACATTGAAAAATTTAACAATGATTTGAATACAATAATTTTTACTTCTATAAGGAATGTTTTGGGGTTGGGTTTTTTAGCTCACCTGACCACGAAGTGGTCAAGGTGAGGTATAGTGATGGGGCTATGTCCAGCGTCTGTCATCGTTCGTCGTCAACAATTGGGTTGTTAACAGTCTAGCAGTCACAGTTTTGATTGGATCATCATCAAGCTTTGTCAGAATGTTTGTCTCAATGAAATACAGATCGAGTTCGAAGATGGGTTAACTTTGATGAATATAAAAAAGTAATGGTACTGATACTTAATTACTTCACCAAAAAAAATACTGCTAGCTAAAATCTAGTACTGGTACTGGTAATGGTACTGCATAATTTGCCAAGTACTGGTACTGGTACTTAAGTACTACACCCTTATAGTACTGATGCAGCTGTGGTCATCTCCGATCAAAAACTAGGTCACAGGAGCTATAAATAGAAAAAGCTTGTTAACACTCTAACAATTGTGTTGTTAACAGTCTAGCATCATAGTTTTGATTGGATCATCATCAAACTTTGTCAGAATGTTTGTATCAACGAAATACAGATCGAGTTCGAAGATGGGTTATCTCGGGTCAAAAACTAGGTCACAGGAGCTAAAAATAGAAAAAGCTTGTTAACACTCTAGAGGCTGCAGTTTTCATCCAAATATTCTGGAAATTTGTCAGGAAGGTTGTTTTAATGATATCTAGGTCAAGTTCGAAGATGGGTCCTCTCCAGGCAAAAACTAAGTCATAGGAGCTAAAAATAGAAAAGCTTGTTAACACTCTAGTGGCTGCAGTTTTCATCCAAATATTCTGGAAATTTGTCAGGAAGGTTATTTTCATGATATCTAGGTCTAGTTTGAAGATGGGTCATCTCCGGTCAAAAACTAGGTCACAGGAGCTAAAAATAGAAAAAGCTTGTTAACTTTCTAGTGGCTGCAGTTTTGATCCAATTATTCTGGAAATTTGTCAGAAAGGTTGTTTTGATGATTTCTAGTTCAAGTTCGAAGATGAGTTATCTCCGGTCAAAAACTAGGTCACAGGAGCTAGAAATAGAAAAAGCTTGTAAACACTCTAGTGGCTGCAGTATGGATTCAAATATTCTGGAAATTTGTCAGGAAGGTTGTTTTGATGATTTCTAGGTCAAGTTAGAAGATGGGTTATTCCCGGTTAAAAACTAGG